TGCTGCAATCCAGGACTTGGCGAAGCATTTAGTTTCTATGGTTGATGGGAATCTCTGCCTTTCATCAGAGCAAGCTGCACAGACAATTCAGCTCTGGAACGCCCTTTCTCCACATGATCGAAGGTGTACAGTTTTTGCAGATAGATACAACCCTCAGGCGACACATAAATTCAGGGCTCCGAAAAAAATAATACAACCAGGAGTGCAGAGTACAGAGTGGTAAGTAAAATAATAAGTATCCTAAGCTATTTCCTACAATTCGATAAGCCCTCCAAAACCATTTGCTCCAGAAAGAAACGGTGTCTCTCGGGCAGAAGTATGATATCTTGAGGTTGCGCGGAAAAGTTGTGGTGAACACCTTATCACCTATTAATTATTTTTATTTTAATATTATTTATATATGAGAACAGATTTACACAAGTTTTTTTGAGTTTTTCAAGAGGTATTATATATTTTTTCTAAATCATTTCACAATGTTGTATAACATTAATGTATCTGTCACTACTTGGCAATATATAATATTGCTTTGAATAAATATATTTCCTTTTTTGATATGGACATTTAAGAACTCTTTACCAACAGTACAATTTAAATCAATTCCTAATAAACCATAAGTATGGAAAAAAAATTCCAATCTTTATGTAATTCTATGGTGTTTTTTTGCAGTAGTGTTTGAGCGCCTGATTCTATCCCAGCAGCCAAGCCAGACTGCAACAGATATGTTGAAGCTGTTGTTCAGCGTTTGTGTTTTATGTTCCCAAGCTCACGCACTTCACAAGGAAGGACGAAGACAAGATGGCGTTTAATAATGGAAGCATATAATCAGATCCATACAACAATCCATAACAATGCAGTGGTTATGGATTGTACAAACATTCAGCTCCCTTCATTAAATCAGAGGACATTTAATACAGGTAAGAATAAAAAATACCATACTACTATTTTTGCCACACAAATTGAAATGTTTCAAATGGAATTGATATAAATACATTTTCTTTTGATTTCAATTTTGTTGTAACTTATGAAATTTGATAATTTTCTTTTGATTTGCCACAAGTTGAAAACTAAAAATCAAAACCATTTGGTCGCAATTAGCAAAAATTCCTTCCTTTTAATTTTGTTGTTAATCCCTTGAGTTTAAGCAAAATCTGCCATCCGGTTTAAGAGGAGTTGCATTCACAAAATTTAACATAGTATATAATGAAAAAATCAAAAAAGAGCCATAATTCTGTTAAATTTGGTTGCCAAGCAAAAATTCCTTTACTTTATTACCATCTGCAAACATTAAGGTTGTTCATTCCTGGAAGTTTAAGCAAAATCTGCTATCCGGTTTAAGAAGGAGTTGCATTCACAAAATTTCTACATAGTATATAGTGAAAAATCAACAAAAGGGCCATAAATCTGTAATAATTTGGTCGCAGCGAAAATTCCTTCCTTTACTACTATTACAGACATAAAGGTTGTTTCACCTGTAAGTTTTAAGCAAATTCGCCATCCAGTTTAAGAGGAGTTTGCCGTTCACAGGAAATATTTCTACATAGTATCTAGTGAAAAAACAAATAGGCCATAATTTCTGTTTAATTTGGTTGCAGAAAAATTTCCTTCCTTACTACCATCTACATCATTAAGGTTGTTCATCCCTGTAGTTTAAAGCAAAATCTGACATCCACGGTTTAAGAGGAGTTGCCGTTCACAAGATTTCAGGACGTACGGACGGACTTGACGGACGGACGGAGGACGGACAACGTGGCAACGCTATAATGCTCCCACATTGTGGGGGCATAAAAATGAAGTAAAAGTTACAATTACATGTGATTGGGTTTTTTTTCCCCATTTTATTTTAGGCACAACAATAAACTGAGACAAGAAAATGTGAAGATGCTGTCACAGGGGTTAAGTCTGCTGAAACCAGAGATGACAGCACCACAGCCTCTTATAACACTACCAGCAAAATTACAAGTTGGACCAGCACACCAGGAGAATCCATAAAGATCCCCTCCAAACACAGCTGGTAGTGTCTAGCTGAAGCAGAAATTGCTAAAGCACAAAGTGACCAAGTCAGTCTCAGTTTCAGCTTCTCAGACAACAACAACAACAACAACACAAGAAGTATCAAAGCCTGAGTCTCAACTCTTTGTTGTTGTTAAACAACAAGCTCCTGTGCAGAGTTCAATGCCAGCATCTTCACAGCCAGATGTCCATTACCAAACGATGAGATATAGACGTATTAGATCATAACAAATGCAAGAGGGCAAGATGAGAAGGAAATATGTTCAGAGTAAGTCTCACAGAACTTGCAAAAAATGTGGCGACACCATTAGCAAAGATACCCACAAGAACCTTTTGGGTGCTCTTCATTGTTCAAAAACCTCCACAGAAACATTGGAGGAATTTACTGCTCCGAGCTTAAATGAAAGAGCAGCAAGAATGCAACAAAAAAGAAAAAAAAGAGTAGATACAGTACTTACATTTTATAATGTAGTAACTTAAATAATTGTTCATTGATATGTCACTGATGTTGACGGTGAAATAATTGTGTCCCGATACGACTGTGATATATTTGTTTATTTAATCTACAAATAGCAACAATGGAAAACTTGTGTTCTGATGCACAGCAGTATAATTGTTATATCAATATGCTGATAGTGACATAAGTGTTATAGTGAACTGATGTGAGAGCAGTATAATTGTTTAATTAATAGGCTAATAATGACATGAGTGTTATAGTGAACTGATGTGACAGCATTAAAATTGTTTAATTAATGGGGCTGATAATGACATAAGTGTTATAGTGAAACTGATGTGACAGCAGTATAACTGTCGAGTTAATGATTTTATTAGACTCCAATAAATTTAGTATAAACTACACAATGATATAATATCCTCTATCATAAACAATATACTATCATAAACAATATAATCAGTATGCATGGGTAGTAATGAATTTCATAAATGTGAGTAGATAATATAAATATCATATTTGTATTAAAATTATTGTTTAAGGTTTGCTATAAAAAGAAAGATTGACTGCTAGGAAGTTTGCAGAGAATTTTTATTATACGACAGACTAATTTCAGATGAAGTAATTGACGAAAAACTCAGAATTTGTACCAGGAGAAGTAAAATAATGAACATGGGAGAGATGTTTATGCTACTCAACACATCACAACATGCTCACATATCTAAGGAGGTAAAAAAATGTCAATTTGGTAATCAATGTGACAAAGAAGAATAGTGCAGTGTATATAACTCCCCGAAATAAATGTTGGACACACTGAAGCTACCTTTGCCTTGACATTAATGTGCAGCATGCCTTATAAATTGATTCCCTTGGATGGAATGTACCCTTGAATTTGACAGCAGAGCTAGTTTGACTTGTACATCAGATTCCAGCATAATTTTTGACAAGAATTCTTCCTACACAACTTTACAAGGCTTTGATAACAATAGATCTCATGTGTGCTCAGATAGTTGTGGAGCATTTGCTCCCCTTCAAACATGCAGTAGTATCTGTGGTGTTTCTATATCAATTATTTGCTTATTAAGGTTGAAGGGAGCAACTACAAACAAAAGACTTCAAGACAAATCCAATCTGTTGCACTCAAGAAAAGAATTTAGAGTGAATTTCAAAATTTAATGATCAGTACAATATGTATATCATCATATAAACTGCATACTAGGAATGTTATAGTCAATGATAACTAAACTGTGAAATTACAGTTTGATGTTACATTATTTGCATTATATACAAATAGTTTAATGTGCGTTGGTAGCCTGACATTCTCAATTAATATGATTTTATTAGACTAATTCAATAAATTTAATATAAACTACACATTGATATAATATCCTCTATCATAAACAATATAATCAGTATGCATGGGTAGTAATGAATTTAATAAATGTGAGTAGATAGTATCAATATTATATTTGTATTAAAATGATTGTTTACAAGGTTTGCTATTAAAAGTTAGAAAGTTTGCAGTCATCTTCATCCACAAACTTAACCTTGATAGTCCATAAGCTAAACACTTCCTTTTGTTAAAAACAAAAAATATTGCAAAATTTGTCCATAATCTATTGTATGGATCAAGATGAAATACAGACAGAGAATCTTTATTTTATGACAAACTAATTGCAGATAAAATAATTGAAGAAATACTCAGAATTTGTTCCAAGAGAAGTAAAATGATGAACATGGGAGAGATGTTCATGCTACTCAACACATCACAACTTGTTCACATATCTTAGGAGGTAAAAAGTCAATCTGGTAATCAATATGACAAAGAAGAATGGTGCAGTGTTTATAACTCCCCCAAATGAATGTTGGACACACTGAAGCAACCTTTGCCTTGACATTAATGAGCAGCATGCCTTATATATGGATTCCCTTGGATGGAATGTACCATTGAAATTGACAGCATAGCTAGTTTGACTTGTACATCAGATTCCAGCACAAGTTTTGACAAGAATTTTTCCTACACAACTTTACAAGGCTTTACACCCTTATACAGATTCAAAGATCTTATTAACAAAGATAATCAACTTAAACAATAAAATTTATATGTAACATGTATGGACTTTTTAGTAGGTGAATAATAGTTGATATGGTGTGAAATAATTGCTATGGACCATGGTGATAGCCCAAGTCAGTGTTTTATTTTTTATAAAATTTCACATCATAGTACCATTTAAAGTCATATCCACTGTATGATATAATTTATATGAATTTGACCCGATTCATCATTACTCAAGCTTATCAACTTCAATCATTTTGTTGACATCTTTTGCTTAATTTGTTCTGTTTATAAGAAACCAAAGGTAAATAATAACAACATATATTGCTTGTTGACATATTCAGTACAAACAGATTGAACTGACTCATTATTTGCTTCATAAATATAAAAAGTACAAACTGTGGGGTTTGGCAATGTTTAGATTAGTATAACTATCAACAGTACCTTTAATAGTTAAAAATAAGTTATAAGAAAACATGTTAATCATAACAAACATCTTTGCAGGAAACACTTGGTCCAGATGGTATTCCTGGTTATGACAAGGTTCAGCAATTGGCTGCTTTTCTGGTGGACCTTGGAAATAACCAGCTTTACCTGACCAATAATCAGGCTGAAGACTTAGTCAACTTATGGACATCCTTGGATGAGTACGACAAGAGGCCCATAATATTCACAGAAGCCTATAGAAAGGAATCCAAGGGTCGTTTTAGGGCAAAGAGACAGGCAGCTCCTGGGGCTGAAAGCACTGAAAGGTATGTGCTTATTTAATCTTCTTGTTTTCATTCTTTAACCCAATGTACAATGTGTAACTTGATTTCAATCACCATTAAATATATGTTATTGTGTGCCTATGTTAACTATCTTACTTAAATGAATGATTATAGGCAATATATCATGAAAAGGCATAACCAAGCATCATATAAGTATTTCATGTTAAGTAGGCTTTCATTCATTGTATAACATATATTTACAGAAGTATGAGGGGACCAGACTCTATTCCAGCAGCAAAGCTGGACTGTAATCGGTATGTTGAGGCATTTGTCGAGAGGCTGTGTCTCAGTATTAGAGGACCACACAGGAGGGAGGGGCAAGTTTGGTCATGGTGGTCTCTGATTCTTGAGGCTTATTCTAACATCAGAACCACTGTGTACAGCAATGCTATGGTTGTTGCTAGAACAAGAATGCAACTGCCAGAAATCAGCCAGAAAACATAAAAAGCCTGGTATGTTTTGTTGCCAAGCATATTTATTTAAGTTATTTATTTTATGATTATTTAACAACATTTAAGAAAAGCAAAATTCAGTTTATCTTTTATAAAAATGACTATAATTTATCATAATGATTAGTTATATATGTAACAAGCAATTATCATAGTATTGCAAGCAATCCATAAGTCCCCTACCGGTTAGAACCCCATCAGCATTCTGAAGGGCCATTGGCCATTCACTAATGTTTAAATTTTTCTCTATTTTAAGTAAATTTGTTGGAAATGTTCTTTAAAAGTGATCAAAGGAAAAAGTTTTTATGAACAGACAGACAGACGGACTGAAGGACACTCTAAAGTTAATATTTGAAACATCCCTGTTACCAAAATATAACATTTTAAAAAGCAAAATTCTTAAAGAGGAGATAACTCTGGAATTAAAGATGCAATTTCATAAAAATTTTCAGCTCTTTTTGACTAATCACAAATATTGTTATATTTGCCATATTTTAAGCCTATTTGTTGCCAAGGCAACCAATATTTTTTCAAAATAGGAAGAACAGATAAGACATGCATAATCTCAAGACTGCCATCTACCCACATGTCAAGTTTCATAAAAATATTTCCAGTACTTTTTGAGTTATCACTGGATTCAGTTTATGTGTAAAATTTGCCATATTTTCAGTCTATGTGTTGCAATAGCAACCAGAATTTTCAACATAGGAAGAAAAGAAAAAGACGTGCATAATCTCCAGACTGCCATCGACACATATTACAAGTTTCATAAAAATATTTCTATTACTTTTTGCGTTAACACTGGATCCAGTTTATGTGTAAAAATTGCCATATTTTCAGTCTATTTGTTGCCATAGCAACCAGAATTTTCAACATAGGAAGAAAAAAAAAGACGTGCATAATCTCCATACTGCCATCTATCCATATATCAAGTTTCATAAAAATATTTCCAGTACTTTTTGAGTTATCACTGGATCCAGTTTATGTGTAAAATTTGCCATATTTTTCAGCCTATTTGTTGCCATAGCAACCAGAATTTTCAACATAGGAAGAAAAGAAAAAGACGTGCATAATCTCCATACTGCCATCTATCCATATATCAAGTTTCATAAAAATATTTTCAGTACTTTTCAAGTTATCGCGGGATCCAGTTTTGTGGACGGACGGACTGACAGACAGACGGACGGACAGACAGACGGACGGACGGAGGGTAAACCTAAAGTCCCCTCCGGTAAACCGGTAGGGGACTAATAACTGGTGTGGTGGATATAAAGTACTAAGGATTTGAATGTTAGAAATTGCTGAAATTGTGTCTTAATGGATGTATCATGATATTATGAACAATTAATAAACATCCTAACTTAATTGTTTTTGTATAAGCTTCTTTAAATTCTTTCTCTCTTTCTTTCACAGGCACAACAACAAAGCAAGAGATGTAAGTAGGCAAGTTCTGCACCAAGGGATACACTTGCCTGAGGCTAGTTTTACTGCTGTGGATCCATTACCACCACCTCATGTGGCCCCAGCAGTTGTGCCTCTAAGCAAAGAATCTGCATTCCAGTTTGACTTGCCAGTGGAAGCAACCATGACTAGACAACCATATAGAAAAATAAGACCGGCTGAAACCATACCCTCCTGTACAGGCAGTGGACCTCAACCAATAATCATTCAGCAACTGGATACTCCTGTGCCATACACAACGCAGCGCTACAGAAAGTGAAAGGCTGAGGAAGAGCTTGTGGGCAGACACAGACGTAAATATGTAAAGGTGAAACCCTACAAGAACTGTGCTAGGTGTGGTGGTATAATTGAAAAACCATCACACCGAAATTATTTTGGGAATTCTTTTTGTGCCATTAATGATGGAAACTATGAAGAATGGAAGGAACAATTTAGAGACAAAAATTATGGACGTAAAAAATAAGCTTCAGCTATAAGCAATTAAATCATCTCTTTGGAAATTGAACACTCTCTTTTTTAAACTTTTTTTGGGGAAATTGAAAACTTATAAACAACTTATTTTGGAAAGTGAATCAAATAACAAAAACAAACTTTTAATGCTGCCTATCCTTGATGTTTAGCTTTATGAACAAAAATATATTCAACACTTTTGCCGTGCTATAAAGTATTCAGGAACTTAAACAAGTTAGAGCTAAACTGAAAGGGTAGAAGGTCCCAAGCCCTTGACAATGAATTGCTTGCAAGTGGTTTACATTAAATATATACTCTTATTATTATAATCCACTTGCATTCAATTTATTGAAAGGAAGGGGAAAGTTAAGTCTTTACAGTTGGCAAAGGTTTGTCTGCCAATAAAATAGCATTATAGCTCTGTTTGGTCTAATTTTGCTGAAGTATTTACCATACAGTGTTGTAACTCAACTGTATGTTTTAAATTTATATGTTGAATTAGCTGATTTACAAGTCTGTTATATGGTATGTAATAAGAGGTTAATACACGGCAGGAGAGGGCCGGAAAGTGATAATCAGCCCGCAAAATGAATAATGGACCCGAGGGCTTTAGCCCGAGGGACATTATTCATTCAGGGCCGATTATCACCTTCCGGCCCTACTCTGACGTGTATTAATGTCTTTAATACACTTGGTAGATCTACTGTAATAGTAGCATTTTTAAAAAAGAAAAAAAAAAAAAAAAAAAAAAAAAAAAAAACAACAAATAGAAATCTACTTCGAAGTTCTTTGGTTGAAATTCTTGTGTTCTGTACGGAGATGTTTACTGTTTGTGTGTTCTAAGAAGCAAGTTTTATTTTCATTTTTTTTTCGGATTGAATTTGTCGTATTATTTCTGCAAATTTCAACAGTAACAAAAATGTGTTTGTACTAAATACGATGTGCTGTCAACCTACTTTCACTTTTACAGTAAACTGTTTCATGACGTAAAATATGACGTCATTGTTTCAGTTTGTGCACGTGCACATGTTCTGCGGGCTGATAACTAGTTCTCGGCCCCGGGCCGCAAACTCATAATAGGTCACGTGACACTCATAATCAGTTGAAATCATAGGCAATTTTGTTACTGTTGAAATTTGAAGAAATAATACGACAAATTCAATCCGAAAAAAATGAAAATAAAACTTGCTTCTTTAAACACACAAACAGTAAACATCTCCGTACAGAACACAAGAATTTCAACCAAAGAACTTCAAAGTAGATTTCTATTTGTTGTTGTTGTTTTTTTCTTTTTTCTTTTTTAAAAATGCTACTATTAGATCTACCAAGTGTCAGAGTAGGGCCGGAAGGTGATAATCGGCCCTGAATGAATAACGGCCCTCGGGTCCATTATTCATTTTGCGGGCCGATTATCACCTTCCGGCCCTGTCCTGCCGTGAATTAACCTCTTATTAAACAAACATACTGTACATTGTTCTACAGTTCAATTGTAAGATAATACATGTAGTAATAAGATTGACTTGTCCCGTAAATGACCAGAGCGATAGAAAATTATAAAATAGTGATTTTCTCAATGAAAGTGATATTTCTATTAGAAAAAATGTTTGTTTTGATTCGTACTATTGTTTTCGTTTACACTAACTTGGATTTTATGCAAATCTAGCAATTTTGTTGAACTTCTAAGACCATTTATACGATCTTTTACTCATTTTTTTTTACTATTTTCAGTTCAATTGTTTAAATATTGATAATAAAGCCCAACCTTGCCAAAGGAATATCTGCTCCGTTTCTTTGATAAATATAAGTTAATCTTCAATCATTATAAATATATAATTCAAAGTATTTACAGTTCTTTCTGTCAATCCATAGCATCTGGAGACTGGGTCACTTACGGGACAATTGAAAAATCATTTACGAGTCCTTAATAAATTGTCAATAGGCCTATATGAGATGACGTAAATTATTTCACATTTGACAATTGAATAATAGATAAGTAGGTACTTTCAAGAATGCGTCAGTAATTTTCACATTTTCTTACTCGTCCATTGTATGGATCTGTGGATTTTGTAAGGTTATTCATTTTGAAAATGAGATTTAAGCATATTCGATATAAAATGCATTTCCATGAGTTGTTTTTAAAAAGATGTATTTTTTGTCAGTTCAATCGATTGATTCTCATTTCCAGATGTTCATATAAATAGATGATAGAAAATTTATTTAAAGAGACAAAATAAAATCGCCATACCATATACACAAATTTAAGGACCAGTGTCTCGAAAATGATGAAATTTATTTTCTGGTTCTATCTAGAAAACCTGTCATAGGGAAAAATCTAGGACATCTGTACTGGTAATATTTTATATTTAAGATTTCGAGATGCTTATAATTTTAATATACAAGAAAGTTCATTTTTCAGTTCTAGAATTTATGAAATGTCGTAGATCTACTTAAGTGAGAATGAGTGAATTAAGGAAATTAGTGACCCATATCATAGTTAAGTATGTTGTGAATGTTTGTCATTAATTATTCCATGACCTCCACTCATCTTCTTCACTCTCACTAACAGAAGGCACTAGAAGTTTGTCTTTTACAGATTTGCTGCATGGCAATGACTCATAGTATGATTCGCACTCCTTCGGAATTGTTCCAGAGGCTATTAGTGACATCAAATCAGATTAAAATGCAGCAGATATTGGAAGCTTCTCTGTATAAGCCTTTCGTGGAGCCTAAAGATACTTTTCTTTGCTTCAGTTCTTCTTCTGCATTAACCTAACTTCCTTGAAGTCACTAACATCAAAACCATGGCTCACAACAATACTGTATTCTTTGTCTTTATCTATCTCCAGTCATTACGTCATTTGATGACGTCACATGTTTAGCAGCAAAACAAAAATACATAAAGATGTTATTTTATCGGGAAAAAGAAGGATGAAACCATTGAATTATTCTAAAAACATGATTAAAAGCAGGATAAAACAAATACATGGTTGATGTCGGGCTGGAGAAGGTTTATCCGGTTCGCTGAGAACGTGAATACTTTCTCGCTCACCGGATAAACCTTCTCCATCCCGACATCAACCATGTATTTTATATATATTCAGCCAGTTAACACGTTCACCATCAACATCGATTTTCATTGAGCCAAAGGTTTGTTCTTTGTACAACTTGTAATCTAGTACTGTATATCAGTGTATTTTATTGGAACGACAATATATGGTTGCTTCCGGCGTGCTAATGATATATAACTGTTTCCCACTGCGATGGAACATGAACTATTGTAAGGCTTTTTGCATGCTTGGTTTACACTCCATTTCTGAATGGCCAATTTCGAGAAATTTGTGTTTTTTACAATAATCATGATAATTGATGTGAGGTAGATCTATATCTTGGACACAGTGAACTAAGCAACTTGCAGCAAACTGATTGCAATTCTGCCCTCCACATGCATTACTATATAATGCCACTTCTGCAATACCAGATGTCTTACTTGCAACAGAAGTTACATACAAGTACACAAAAGTTCCTACTTCGCACGAACCTGGTTTCCCCATGTGTCTCATCCAACAGATAACAAGTCCCGTTACCATTTCCCAGTTCATAGAATGACAAATTGCAACAACACAGTTTTCTTTTGTAATGAAAATCACCAATTAAACTGCTTTGTGTTTTCAAAACAGCCTGGATATCAAATGCCGACACAGAAAACTTTGGATCTTTCTTTGTGCGTTCTTTATCGGCTGATTTTTCCATTCTACTAGATACTTCCTGTTGGAGTCTTCGTGTGTAGTGTGATTCAACAGTCGGAAAGCTTTCGTTGGGTTTCTTTACAAATGATCTGTGATATTCCGTGGTTTTATTTCCAGGCACAGCTTTCCCTCTCTTGTCATTTTCAACATATAACCCTGCCACTTTGTGCTTAACTGCGTTTGCAACTGTTTTGGAACCGACATCGAGAGTTTTTAGTAAAAAGTCTTTGCCACCAACTGTGTGAAAAACGAATTCGAAATAGTTCTTTGTTTTGTTGGCAACATGGAAACAAATGAATTGCCTCTGACTTATGTAATCACCCATTGACCAGTATGCACTGAATATTTTCTGTCTTTCATATTCGGTTATATTCTCGCTGCATTTAATTCTAAAAGATAAATTTCTTGGGGAAAAAGAGATTACAGATAGTGCCTGTGAACTTTATGAATGCAGTATTCTGTCAGGGGAAAAAGGTGATATAATCAGTATAACCTTTTTCCACTACAGATACTTCACAACATGCGGAACAACAGGTACACTTAGAACCTTTTACCCCTAAATAATTTTTAGAAAAGAAGTTATTACAAAATACTTTTTAATGTTTTGCCCTTATAAGGATTGAATATTTATATAATATTATCGTCAGACATAAAGGACAATAAATAAAAAGCATAAAAAGTCAATTTCGGCAATTATAACCTTTGAACCCTCGAAATAGCATGTGACATAAAATTGACCAATGGGTAAATTGTACATATATATTTGAAAATTTCTACCGGAAATTACCAAAAAAAACAAAACAAAATGATGACTGCAATGATTACAACCGTGTTTTCAAAATTTAGGAGATTTCTACAGCATGGGGGGCTTTTGTCCGTATCCCATGGATTGACACTGCTTCTGTTAGAGTTAAAAAGCCCCATAGAATTGTAGAATTGAATCGGGTGAGCATGGAGGAACACAAGTATTTATAGAAAATTTTTTCATGACTGTGTATGTTGCACAATATTACCATTGTTATTATGATTATTACTATTATTATTTTTATTATTATTAAATTATTTGCTATTGTAGATCTAAATATTATTGGAATGTTTTAGTAGAAAATTTTTTAATAATAATAATTATTATTATTATTTTTAATGTATTTTCAATGAAATAAGTTTCATAAT